TCGAATGAATTATTGTTTACTCGAACATAAGAAGCCGAGAAAGAAACCCGAAGAGAGTTTAACTTTCCGTCTTCTCTTCTTTTTTGCTAGACTGATAATAATTTATTAATTTCTATCGAATCGATAATAATATATATTTTTTTTTATCTTTCTTCTTCTACTTCTTCTTCTTCTTCTTCTTCAAAGGGCTGAGGGGATGGTGAGAGGGGGAGGAGGAGGAGGAGGAGGAGAAGGTGAAGTGATTGGCTGAAAAAGAATATGCTCGGGAAAAGGGAGCATATTATCGTTCTTTTTTTCCTCGTCGAATGCTCTCACCGATTTTATCCAGAAAGTATATTTATTATTCCATCGTAGTAGGTGGTAGCAGTAGTAGTAGTAGTAGTAGTAGTAGGTAGTAATAATAGTAATAGTAGAATTCTCTCTTCCACGGAGATTGATTTATTTATTGAGTACGATCGTCGTTCGATTAATCATTTTCTTCTTATTCTTAAAAGAGATAGAGATAGAAAGAGATAGAAAGAGAAAGAGAAAGAGAAAAGATAGTTACGTTTCACGAGGCAATTATCTTAAAAGGATTTGCAAAATGTCAAGAAGCTTCGAAAAGTTTACGAATAATTCTTCGTGGACTTTGAAAGAGAAAGAAAAAAGGAAAGAATGAAAGAGAGAGAGTGAGAGAGAGAGAGAGAAGAAGAGAAAGGTAACAACCGTTCGGTCTTCTTCGTCGTTGGGCAAACATCCAAGCGAGTTCAATTTCTGCCCGTACCGTGAAACTTCCACCTTCTCTCTTTCTCTCTCTCTCTCTCTCTCTCTCTCTCTCTCTCTCTCTTTCTCTCTCTTTCTCTTTTACTCAATCTCCCACTGTTCAATTCAGGAAGCAAGGGTCGTTTTAGCAAAATTTCAACCGTTCACTTCAACGTGTGCATGTCCAACTATATACAAAAAAAAAACAAAAGAAATAAAAGAAAAAGAACGAAAAAAAAGGGGGATGATGGATGGTGGGGGGAGGGAAAAGAACGACCGTAACAAGGTCGAATCAAACCATCAGCAGGCAAGAAGAAGAGAAGAATGGCCAGGTCTTTGGATTTTTCGGTGATGACTCTTAAAACGTCCAAAGTTTTCTTTTGTTATTAGTTTTCATGATTTTTTCAATGCTTTTTATTGCTTTTTGGTTCGTTTTCTTTTCTTTATTTTCTCAGAAATTATCTGAAAAACTGATCGGAATCCTCCATTCGAATATCCAGTCGTTGTAAAGAGATATAAATTAGGAATGTTGAAAATTTCTAGTTAAATTCGATGGACGTTTCGTGATCAATCGGCGTATCCTTAGATGTCACAGGATTTTCTAACGAATGAAGAAAGACAAAGAGAGTGTGTGTGAGAGATAGAGATAGAAAGAGAGAGAGAGAGAGAGCAAAGCGTGAAACGCGCCATTGAGAGAGAGTGTCAGACTCTCTCGATTCTATTCTGAGTCAACGACACCGGCACATTGCGGCAAGGCACCTTCGTGCTCGGGTCCTTGACTTCTCTAGGCTACGAACGCCGTTCGTTCCGAGACTTTTGCCTGCGATATACGAAGATAAAACGAGTAGTAGTAGTAGTAGTAATAGTAGTAGTAGTAGTACCGTAGCGTACCAAGCATAGACCACAGATAGGAATAGAGTCGGCACCCACTGTCTTCTATCTTTCTCTTGAACAAATCAAAGAACGAACGAACGAATGAACGAAGGAAGGAAGGAACGAAAGAAATAGCGAAAGAATGAACGAAAAAATGAAAGAAGGAGATGGAGTATGGGGGAGGGGGGAAGGGGTAGGAGAGGAACTGAAACGACTAGTTTTCTTATACTGCTTTTTATCATGTCACTAGATAAGCTTTATCTAATTAATATTCATAATCAATATTAAATGCGAACGGGTAAATTTTTATCTTTCCTCGATCGAAGGTTATCTTCTTTTCCTTGAGCCTTTCATCAATATGAATATAATACTGTTGGTGAATTAATGTTAACCGTGGTATACGGCTATTTCCCTTATTATAGGTCACAAAAGAGAAAAAGAAAGAAAGGGGGAGAGAGAGAGAGAAAGAAAAAAATGTAGCTAACAAAAGTGTTCGTTTGACCGTTCTGTAAAATTCATTGGCTTTAGGGAAAAGAACTTCGAGAATCATGGTTCAAATATGTTGTCTGTTAGCTTTTGTTGAAAGGAAAGAAAAGAAAAGAAAAGATAGACGTGAAACGGACCGGTGTCTAGCGTTTATCATCATCTTCCATGTTCCGTGCCATTAGATCGATGGGTCGTGTCTCTCATTCTCTCTCTCTCTCGAACGGTGTCGGACAGTGACCCATTTGTCGTGTCCATGGTTTCCACCGATACACTCGTCACACTACCATCTATAGACCTAGATCAAAATGTGTGACATACATACTTACGTACATATATATTTTAGAGTCGTATATACAATTTGAGTATATGTATGTATTACACGTTATACACGTAGAATACATATATATATATATATATATATTGGGAAGGCTGTTTTCTGGCATTGTTCATTGCGTTCCAACAACGACCATCCTCGTTGAACTTTCCACTGGAGAAGAGGAGTCCTGAAAAGCTTTACGTGACCTTTCCTCGTACGAAAGATTACGTTCTCACGTTTGCTGCTACATTGGGAGTTTATTGAGATATTTTAATAGACGTATTTAATAGTTCTGCTGCCACCGTTTTCGTTAGTTGTCCCTCGTCCTTGCCTGTTCCATCATTCGCTAGTTAATTCACTCGTTCATTCGTTCATTCGTTTATTCGTTTATTCGTTCGTGCACATACTACATGTACATAAATATACATACATACATATATATATATATGTATCTACCTTGTAGGTTGAAAATATTTTTACGAGCCTCCGTAGCGAACGACCTTAATAGATCACAAACTCTTACGCGACAACGACAACGACATAGACGAGGACGTATAAGAACGTCCCTGAGACATCCCAATACGTCGACCTTAAAATATCTTCTTGCTTCGCGAGGTTTGCAACGAGCACGAGTACGAGTACGCGCGCGCGCGCGCGCGTTCGTTCGTTCGTTCTACTTTGGATCGGATCGTCGCGACGACAGGGAAAGAAAGTATATGGGGGAAAGGTACGAAAAGGAAATGGAACTTTTGCGTTGCCTTTTTTTCCACGAATATTCTGGGTGGGGGGGAGAGGGAATATATTTTCCAATGAATGAACATATAACTGGTAAGAAGGAATCCTTGCTTCGTCCTTCTTCTCAAATTGCTTGTTCTCCATTCTCTGACATTTTTCTTTCTCTATATTCTTATTCTCGCGTAAAAAAATACGAAGAAAAAAAGAAAAAAGAAAAGGAATTGTGAATTTGATCGTTCGCAACTCTTTGAGAAGATACTCTCTTTGATACGATTAAAATAAATCTTATTTACCCCCTCCCCGAACCCTCTCAGAATGAAAAGTGCAGAAAAACAAGAATGAAGATGTAAAATAAAAGGAAAGAAAGAAAGAAAGAAATCTTGAAACCACAGATTGCTCTCGATTTGATTCATGGACACGACGAAGTACCACGACGAGTAGTAGGAGAGGTGTAGTAGAAAATCCTTCGAACCGTATCCATATTCTTTTCCAACGTAACAAAGAAGTAAACGAAAGGATTTCTCTCTCTCTCTCTCTCTCTTTTCCTTCTTCAATACTGGCGGAGCGAGAAGAACGTCTCGTGAGAGATAAAAATCGGATCACGAAGGTCAATTCGAGTTCGAAAACGGTAGCAGCAACGACCGGCAAGAAGGTGGTACTACCATGGCATGAAACGGGACGTAACGGGGACGGTGACGGTGACGGGGACGGGGACGGGGACTGGGACGAGACATCGAAGACGATAAAACGTCGTTTCTCGCAAAGATTTTTCAACAAAACCGTCCTTAAGGACACACGGTCGCCTTTATCCTCGATCATTTACGGTCCTGTCCGACTAAGGATACATAGTAGAATGTTGTATATATTCGTGAAAGCACCACTATCGTGGTGTTGTACCCTTCATTCACTTTGGCCTCGTCGCGAAACTTCATTACTTGCTTCTCGTTGTGCTCGCGAGAGCTACTACACTACGTTTCATCGAGAGAAACAGATTTCTATGCTGTGTTGGATGCTGCTTGCTTGCTTGCTAGCTAGTATAGCTTGCTTGCTTGCTTGCTTGCTGCGCCCATCGACCGTTTTACTCTTTTTCCCTCTCTTTTTCTCATACTCGAACGTCCTTCGGTGCGTGATGCATACTTGGTGTCCTATTTTAAACGATATCCTACGCAAGTAAAATATCAACGATTATAATTCGACCATTGGATTTTGGATTACTCTTATAATCTTGAAACGCATATTCGCGTTTGCATACTTATATATATATATATACCTTCGTTTAATGTATCCTCGTGGGCAGGAATATATATGCATATATTTTCCCCTCTCTCCTTTTTTCCCCCCTTCACGCAGAAGAGCGTGCAAGAACACGCGGCTTTCCACGAACGCGTGTCATCTATATATCTCTCTATGTATGTATATCTATACATACACATACAGAGAGAGATATATATATATGTATATATATGCGCGAGTTTAACCTACATAAGCGGAATCGCGATTGGGCGAAGTAAATGGCGGACGATCTTTCGGATAATCGATATGCACGTCACCGTAACGACGGTCCTACTACTACTACTACTACTACTACTACTACTACTACTACTACTACTACTATTACTACTACTATTACTACTACTATTACTACTACTATTACTACTACTATTATACTACTACTACTACTCACGAGGAGAAAGCCAGGTTTCGTTTAACTCGAAACTTTATTTAAGCCATAAGTTTACAATGAGATCATATCCTAGATTGGAACTTACATTTTTATGTTCCATAATCATTTTAATCATTTACCGATAAATCACTCGATCGATTGATCATTTATTTGATTTGTTCTTAGGGTATTATCAGCCGGCTGGACCACTGATACAGCACCCGCCGACATTACCTCCGGTTAAGGGCCCACCACCGGAACCAACTCCTACGCCTCCACAAAATTCCGAAGGCTCGGACGATTTGGTCGCAACATCGACGACTTCCGGTGGCACGAGTAGTACAGGTGCATTCAGATATTCCTATACAGTGGATATTCCAGGTCCGTTTTATTCCTGATAAATCAGATTTATCTATCTCAACTAAAATCAAAGCACAGAAAGAGAAAATAAGGAGAAAGAGAGAGAGAGAGTCGTAGCAATACCGAAAGATATCGTCGTTGCTGTCTCTTATCTAGGTCTATCTTATTTTACGATCTCTCAAGCAAATCCCTTCCTCTTGTTGTATGTTTCAGGTGGAGGAGGCTTTTATAGGGCATATTGCCCTTCCTATTATAGCACGCCACCTCAATATCAAGATCTCTGTTATCCACCTACGTACACCCACCCTCACGCTCATCCTCCACCGTATTACAAGTACGCCCCAACATACAGAAGGTAAGAATGATATTTTCGAATATATTTTCGAATATATTTTCGAAGGATAAACCTGACGAGACACTTGAGAACAAGCCCCGCCCCCGTCCACGCCCCTAGCCCCTAGCCCCTGGCCCCGTCCACCATAATGCGAATAGGGCCGTTCTATCGAGAGCACTTTTCTTGCATTCTGTAAAAAGATTTCTTTGTAGGCAGTACTATGGGTATCAGGAGTCTGGCGGAGGCGGAGGACCGGGAGGTGGAGGCACGGCTGGTGGTCCTGGAGTCGTCGACTATCAACCACCGCCACCGCCACCCGGAGAGTATCCCTTGCCTCCGTATTACGGGGGCTACCCACCACCACCACCTCCGGCTAATCCAGCATATCTTCATTCTCAGGGAAGACCTTTCGTAGACCGTAAGTATTGTTTTTATTTAATGAAATTCATCAATTATTTATTATTTTTCATTAGTTACATTTTATTAAACACCGACCTCCATTTTATATTCTCATAGACGCAGCCTTCCAGGGTTGTCCGTGCCCGATGCAGTCATGTCCAAAAAACGTGGATACTGGGCCCCTTATTGGTAATGGTAAGGGAGCGCCAGTGGTATCGGGGCCCGGTCTGTCATTGCCGCCCAGTGCTTTGGTAGGTCCGCCCTCACCAGCGAGGGGGCTAGCCGGGCTAGCGCCACCTCATGGTGCCAATGCCTGGGATACGGATCGTGTCCAACTCAACACTTTACGCAACCTCAATCAGAACCAACCGGCTGTTCCACCGACTCATAATATCGTCGGTGGTCATAATCGTTCTCAGAACTCTGACTGCAGGAGCAAGGTAAATGTACTTCTTATCTATTTTCTTTTGTTTTTGTTTTGCCTTCCTGATTTATGATTTTATTATCATCTTATTTATCTTCTTCTTATTTCTTTTCTTTTTGTCTTCTCTTTAGAGAGAAATAACTTAATCTTCTATTTTTGTTCTCTTTTTTTTTTTTTTCAATTTCTCTTAGGACGAGAAGAATCGCGCCGAGGACAAGTTGAGAAAGTGTGCCTGTCAGAAACACGGCTGCACGTCCACTTGCGAGGTCAAGATGGAGACACTCTCGCCGAGCGAAAAGCTCACGGTTGGGAACTGTCCGAGTAGCAAGTTTCACGAATTTAAGCTCGAGAACAATAACGTTAAGTGCGAATCATGCAGCGTCGAGATCGGTGATAATTTGGGTTGCGCGGCGAATTGCAACGTTAAATGTGAGTCTGACTATAAGTGCGATATCATGAAGTGCGAGCAGTGCATGAAGGAGAGTAGAATGGCTATATTAGAGATTGACAAGGATTCCGGTATTTTACTGATCGACGATAAGCTCGACGCTGATCCCGACGTTAAAGAAGAGCTCAACGACGTCGTCGTGATAGGCAACGAGAATTGGAAAAAACCGGATTATGAACCGACCGTTCAAGAAACGGTCGAAGATAAGGAAGAGGTCATCGAAAAGGTATTACCGGTGCAAGAGGAGGAAGAAGAAGAAGAAGAGGAGGAGGAGGAGGAAGAGGAAGAGGAGGAAGAAGTTGAGGAGGGAGAACAACCAAAGTGTCAGAAAGTAACGAAACGAAAATTATCCTTGGACAGCTTGTCGGATGGTAGAAAGAAACGAAAAGTTAGCAAGAGGACTCTCTCGGTTGGCTCGACGCAAGATCTAACAGTTAATAATAACGATCATACGAGTAAAGTGATAATAGCACCTATCGAACCACCCCCGCTATTCGATAAGGTGGACGGTATCGTCGAAGCGTGCCTTCCGAAAAAGAAACAGGCCAAGAAGGAGAGTCAGAGTCATCAACAAGGGCAGAAACGTAAAGCCGAGGCTCCGAATAATTCCGAATCTGCTATGAAAAAATCAAAGAGTACGAAACAAACGGCGAGTAATAACAGCGTCACGAGTAATTCGAAATCACCTGCTAGCGAAACTTCCATCAATGAGACCATCGACAAGGTTATACAACAGAGCTTGCAAATGACCCAGAAAAAAGATCGCAAATCAAAGTCTAACGATAAGTTGGATAATAATAAAAAGAACAAGGCTACTAATATTTTGAAAAAGGTTGGTAAAAAGTTGTGTTTAGCCAAGAAGTTTGAAAAATTGTCAAAGATCGTTACGAAGATCAGTCAGAGCAAGGGTAAATCTGAAAAGGCTACTAAGGGTAAAACGCAAGACGTCAAATCGAGAAGTAGAAGCAAGGGTAATAAATCACAGGAGACTAAATCTAAGGGGCAAGATACTAAATCGAAAGATAGTTCGAAGAAAAACGAAGCGACGACCAAAGTTAAGGCTAGTGGTGGTGGCGAGGCTAGCGAAGATTCGAAAAAACCAGCTTTGATTAAGAAGAAACGAAAGAGTACGAAAAAGTCTAGCGTAAAGAGAGTAACCTCGAAAATCGAGGACAATTTAGGTGGGAGCGAACATTTATCCTTGACTAGAAAAACATTTTTAAAGCCGAAATGGAGCAACGGCTGGAGTTGGGAGGGTGATGCTTTTGAAGCCAAAGTTTATTTAACGGTAATTAAATAATACATATTATATAAGATAAGTAAAAAAAAAAGAAAAAGAAAGAAATTGTCAACAATTTTCACTGGATCCTAAACTTATATCACATATGTATTTGTAGAACGAGGAGTCAGCAATACGTCGGTGTTATACTAGCATGAAACACGAAAGCGGTGATGTCCTGAAACCCAGAGACTGTGTTTTACTCAAGAGTGGACCAAGGAAGGCCGATTTGCCGTTCGTTGCAAAGATAGCTGCGCTTTGGGAAAATCCAGACGACGGTAAATTACTCTGAATATTTTATCCCCCCCCTCTCTCTGTATCTATCTCTCTCTCTCTCTCCCTCCCTCTCTCGTCGTCGTCGTCTTATTCATCGAGTTGGCTGATATAAAAGAATGTTTTATCTTTCCAGGGGAGATGATGTTTTCATTACTGTGGTACTACAGGCCGGAACATACGGAACAGGGACGTACGCAATGCGACACCGAAGACGAGGTGTTTGCTTCTCGTCACAAAGATGCTAACAGTGTCGCTTGCATAGAAGACAAGTGTTATATTCTAACGTTTAACGAGTATTGTCGGTAAGTTTTATTAATTAAAAACAATATTAACAGTTTAATATCATTATTAGTATTTAATTGCAAATTGCAAGTATATTTGTGTTATTTTCCTTTTTATTTTGTTATTTTCTTTTCTTTTCAAGCTACCGCAAGGATTTGCGAAGAATCGAGGAGGGTTTGGAGAGTCCCGGTTTAATAGTTCCACCAGGGGACCAAGTATATCCGAGAAAAAATCGGCAACCACCGATACCGGTACCGTCGGACATGGTACTCTTCTGTCGGCGTGTTTACGATTATCGCGCGAAAAAACTCGCAAAGAATCCTGGATGACTCGAATTCCTATAAGATACTTCTTCAAATAGGAACCAATGGAATGCACAAAGTTTGCAAGCCACATTGAAACTGACCGCAGGTGTCTCCCTTCAAGCTTAATGACGACGTCGTACCGAGCGATTCTTCCTGATCTCTCAATTTTTCTTCCTCGTTCGTTCATACAACTTTTATTAAATTATTAATTTGTTCCCTTTTTTTTTTTTCTTTTTTTTAACTCAAATCCCGATTGCTTTTAATCGTATTAACTTTGTTGATATTTTTCTACGAGTATACTTTTACTATGCATAATTTTTTCTCAATTATTCCCAGAACGTTTTTTCTTTTAATTAACGTTCAATATCTATTTTTTTTTGGTTATAACTTATAAATATTTAATTTATATGAATGACCGTATGCATAATTTATATCTAAAAAGCATGAAATGATAATGATACAGTTAATTAATTATGAGATCACGATGAATCATTCGTAAGGAAAAAAAAAAAAAAAAAAAAGAAAAAAAAGAAAAAAGGAAAAAGAAAAAATACAACAGACGATATAATATCCGTTTTTAGATTTCGCGTCGATCGAACGATCATTTCTAAGATTCAAACAAAAGGTTAATGAATGACGTCCGATTATTAAAACATACGTACAATTGCACGCATAATTGACATATATACATATATACATATATAAATATGTATATGAATATATCTTCGATATCTTCCCGATATCTTTCCTACATCAATAGAACGATAGTAGAGGAAAGAAAATAAAAAAAAACGATCGTTCGTAATCGATGCAAAATCGTCGACGTGTTTCGACGACGACGACGGCAACAGAACGTGAGAAACGTTTATAGCGAATTAGTAGAATTTGACAATTTTATAGAAGAGAATATAATATTTTTTGCGAAATAGAAATGAGCAGCGTGTACGAGCTTTAAATGAATATTTTTCACATAGGAGGTACAAATATACGACGTGATATTTCTTGGGTGGGAACCTTCGGACAGTTTCAAGGTAGGAATCAAGAAAAGAAAAAAGAAAAGAAAAGAACGAACGAACGAACGAACAAATAAATAAATAAATAAATAAATGAATAGACATGAAAAAAGAAAATAAGAACACTCGACGACCACATTTAGCGAAAAAAAGAACAACAATAACAAAACAGTAACAGCAACAAATAAAAATAAATAAATAAATAAATAAATAATAATAATACAGAAATTTATAGCGAATATAATAAGATGAACGCGATACGACGCGTTTATTTGGTTATATAAAAGAAAAAGAAACATTTTAGTAGAATTATAATAACGTAAAAGAAAAGTATGATGACGTGATACTTTCGTAATTCAATTCTGCGTTAGCAACAACCCCTCATCGTTCGGAATTAGTAGGACGTCGAAATTTAATTCGATAATATCGAATTGCTAAAACGAAGATACGATGTCAGGAATTCAAGAAAAAGAAATTAAAACAAAAACAATACAACAAAATAATAATAATATATAATAATAAGAAAAAAAAAATATATATATATATATAAAGCCATATAGGAGAAAACGTGAAGGAAAAATAAAACAAAAATCATAAGGAACAAAACTGTCAGGCCCGCGCACACGCATAAAAAAAAAAAAAACAAAAATCACCTTTTAACGTTATCGTTATCGTTATCGTTATCGACGATGTAAAATGCATTATTTATTCAGTGGTCCAGAAGAATAGGGAAAATAAAAGAAAAAAAAAACAAGAATCATTTCTGGATGTACTTAGGCTCGATTCGATCGATTAATTAAAGAATTCAAAAATAAACTAATAGAATTAAAGAATCTCTTAAACTGCTCGTTCGTTTATCGAGAAAAAAATTGTATTTTCATTTCGAATACGAATTTTACGCGCGAGTAATCCAATTTTGTAGATTTATTTTTAATCTGAAAAAAAAAAAAAAAGAATTTTTACCGCAACACAGACAGATACACATTCGGTCGGGTAGAATATTATTTTTCAAGTTCAGTCTCGAGAATAATTTGTTTGACTAAAAAGTCGATTTAATGTAAAAGTAAAACGAATGTTGCGTTTTATCGATGCCCGTTTCTTTTTTTTCTTTTTTTTTTTTTTATATATATATATACTATTTTAACCTTGTTATTTTATTTCTATGTTTTGTATTTTTTTTCTTTTTTTTTCGTTTAAAATTAAATCCAGCAGAAACTAATCGATAAGAAAAAAAGAAAGAAAGAAAGAAAACTTTATTTTTCCATTTCTCACACCCTCATCGTTCGACGATATAGTCCCGTGCGCATCTCTA